TTTGAAAAATCATGTTCTTATGTAAATTTATTAAATTAATAGATTTATATGAGGGCTTATGTCTTCATATAAATTAATAAATTTATTTGAAGAGTTGTATTCTCACATAAATTAATATATTTATATGAAAAATTGTGTCTTTATATAAATTAATATATTTATATGAAAGGCTATGTAGGTAGTTACAATAATAAAAGACCCTACATATTAAATACATTTTATTTATTTAAATTATGTTAGTTCATGAACCAACATATGGGACTTGTATTTAATAAAGTATTATTTCAAAAGGCATCTCTTCAAGACATCATTCCGTGGTCTGTATAAACCCGTCACCATCACTTCATTTGGATACAACACAATTCAAACACAAAGATCAAACTCACTGCCTTTGTCTTTGAGTGAACGTAGAGATAGAGTCAAATTATCACCTTGTAAAGGCCATTGTTTTATTCGCTTGAATCTTGGAAGTGCAATCCATATTCAAGAGTTTTATTGTATCCTGAAAGAAATTTGCCAATCAACCCGACTTGCATCTTATAAGATAAGAATAGGTAGAAGCGAATTAAGCCTAAAGGAAAGTGCTGCCATACCTTGAAGACATCGTACACCACTTTCTTTTTCCTCTCTTCTTCTTTTACTCTTCACAAAACCATCCCTACCAGCAGTAATAATATAAGATGATTTTTTTTATTTTTATAATTTTAATAGCGACTTCATTTCTCTTTAATTTAATTGAAATGTTACAATATTTTCAAATCAATTAAAAATTTAACAACTTTTTTAATTTTTGATAAGAAAGTGGATAAATGACAAGATGGGAACACTTTGTCATTTGAGGGGGAAAAACTAATTATAATTCTTTCTAATTGATAATTATGTCAGATCATATTAACAATTAATATTAAATAAAGTGAGTATCAAAGTATGTATAAAACTATTAAAGTTATTAACAATTTTTAAATAAGATATCAAAATATTATTTTCTAAAAATCCCTCTAACAATTCATATATTTTTGTCCAATGTTGATGACTGAATATATTAAATTTTATTACGTTTGATGTACAGATATTTTCTTATTAGAAGCAATTCTATTTGAGATATTGGCAGACACTAAATGTTAGAAGACAGTGCTTTGAATATGATTATTTTTAATAGGAGAATACTGATGCCTAGAGGAAAAAAAATACCTTGATTCAAAAAGAAAATAACTTTAAAAAAATATCGAATATCTAGTTTTGAATGAATTCAATAATGTGTATTAGTTTTAAGAGATAGGATGAACGAAAAAATTTACCTATTATACTATCAAAAAGAAACACCAGGCACCGTAATAAAATGTCAGGGCTAAAAATACTCATTAATTTTTCAAAACGGGGCAAAAATGCTATTTTTGTTGACTACCCTTAACGTCCATCGCTTTTTCTTTTGTGAATCCCACTAAGCATACACGTGTTTCTTTCTCACTACTCACTTTGTCATCTACTTACACATTATCACACACCCTCACTTTTTCTTTTCATTTCTCTATCTCTCTCCTCCCCTCTCTTCTTTGCCTTTTATTTTCTCCAAAGTTGGACACACACAGTCATCGGAATCTAGAAGCCATGAACACTGGCATTGCTAACTTCCAATCCATTCTCGACAAACCTCTTAGTTAGCTCACCAATGAAGATTGTCACAAGTTCTGTCTTTCTTTCTCTCTCGCACATTTTTTATTTCACTACAAAAAAACAGCTCATTAGTGACAAAAAATTATTCCGTCGCTAATTTCTAACAGATTACCAATAAAAATTTCGTCACTAAATTTAGCAATGGATTAGTGACAAAATTTTTGTCCGTCGCTAATCCGTCAAAAAATCCGTCAGTAAATATTTAGTGACAGAATTTTTTTCATCAAAAAATTTTATTGCTAATTCCATCACTAAATTATTTGTCACAGAAGTTTTCATCACTAATTCCGTCACAATCCCGTCGCTAATTTTAAATTTCATTATTTTAGATTATAACCTTACAACAATTTATATAATAACGTGATTAAGAATATAATGATTTAAATATATTTTTAATTGTAAAATAAATTGATATATTTGTAGAGTTGGTGTTAATGAAGGTATCATCATCATTCATGTCATCATTAGGTACATATTGAGAATAGGAAGACAATTTCTTAGAAAACTTGTTTATATTTCATTAAAATCAATTCCTCTTGATTATTAATAATAATTAAAAATAATAAGAATATTAATAATTTTCTTATACAAACTGATACAAGAAAGAAATAATTTTATCATATGTACAATATATTGAAAGATATAATATATAATAGAAATTCAAACCAAAAAATGTATATGAACACAAACTAATATTGAAGTGAATTTTGAAATTCAATCATTAAATAATAAAATTTAATTGTGATATAATTAATACGGATAATATAGATTGGTTTTGGTCTTCTATGCAAAAATAAATGATATAAATAAAGAATTTTAAGAAAATAAATTACACAGGATATATACATATACAAGGAGGAGAATATTGTTTGTTATCATCTATTCAAATCATTTAATTTTTTAATAGAATAATTGATTAGATTTTATTATAGTAGTTATTTTTTGAATAACTAGATTTTTTTGCTAACTATAAATGGTTTTCATTAAATATATAAGACATATACAGATAATATAATATAATGTAATATATATATATATATATATAATTAAATTGGATATCTTATCAATGTTAATTAAAAAATAAATTTTAAGAAATATTTAAGAAAAAATTATTTATGATTTAAAATTCAAAATTAGTTTCATTGGAAATTAAAATTATATTAAAAATATTTTTTAAAATAAAACATTATAATATAAATAGTAAAAAATATTTAAAAATTATTTTGTCATTAAAATAGCTATGATAAAAATTATCATATAGTTTATTTTTAGTTTTTAATAATATATATGTATATAATATTGTTTGTGTAAAAGAATATTATATATATTTAATTTTGCATTGTAAGTCAATAGGTTTGTTGCAGCTCAACTGGTAAAGCCGTATGCACCCACAGATGAGGTCTCAGGTTCGAGCCATGGAGAAGTCACTTTGAGGAGGAATTATGTGGTGGTGACATGTGGTAGGCAGAGGTGAGGTGATAGTGACACGTGGCGATCATTGCTGAGGTGGTAAGGACACATGTTTAGAGGAGTTCTTTGCTAGGATTTAGAGGTTTTAAAGCTTAGGAGCTTTGAGCTTGAAGTTTGAAGGAGATTTGGAGCTTCATTTCTCATTTTTCTTGGTTTTCTTCTTCTCTTCTCATTTGTCTTTGTAATGGCTGAAAATACCCTTGTATTTGTGGCTCTTTACTGAACATGTGTAGCTTGAGTAGTCATTCTAAGATTATTTTGATTTATTGTATGGATTAAAACTTATTTTAACTCTTTCTTTAGTATTAATGATAATGTTATTTTGTTTTTACCTTGAGTTTAGTGCTTTCTTGTAATTGGCCACCACTTAAAGTGATTTGTTTAATTGGTTGAAATTGAGAAAGTTAAATTGATCTTTGATCTTGGGTAAAAACCTGCTATATTGAAAGTTTATTCTATTAAATGGATGGTTTGTTGATAGAATAGAGATATATCTATTAATCTAGCATTGGTCAAAACAAGATTTTGATTTTCAAAGTGTAATGTTGTCAACAAAAACAAGAGATTGTAAAAGTTTATTAAGATTACAAAATTTGGTTTTGACTTGACAAAGCTTAATTAACATTTGTGAACCTTAGACTGACTTAACTTATCATTAAAACACTAAATGAGAAGTTTTTAATCAAGTTTTATGAAATACAATAGTAAGAAATAATCCTAGATTCTTATTTGTCTCAAAGTTAAGTTATTAGCTTCGATTTTAAGCTTTATTTTCAAAGTACCTTTCTGAGACAACTTCATTTACACATTAATTTCACTTAACCTAATCATAAACACAATTGTGATTTTTAACTTGTCTGGCCTTAACCTCTAAGGGAACGATATTTTTTATACTACTAGCGACTCGTGCACTTGGAGTTAAACTAAATGGCGAACAGCAGTGATGATGACATACTCTTGCTTTGATGGTGGGGAGACGACAATCATGGAGATACTTGTTATTTTTTTGTCTAACTTAAATATTATTTTGCCACATCTACCTCCACGTCACTATTTTGAGTCAAAGTATTCATTCTAAATAGTCACCATTCATAGTAATGACATTTTAGGCCCCTTTTTGAATCATCATGGGTATTTTTGGCCCTGACATTCTATTATGGTATTGTTGCTCTTCTTCAATATTATAATAAGTAAATTTATCCCTTTACCTGATGACATAATATATATGAAGCAAATTAAGAAGGGAAAATTACACACACGTCCCAAGGAGTATAATTTATTCACCTAAGGTTACAAAAAATGTTAAGATTAATAGCAGGTCCTAAGAGACCTTAGAGTACTATATTGCCATTTTAACATGACATCCCTATTCCTCCTAATCTAAAGGTCCCAATTCAAAGTTCAAACACTCTCCCTCTCACCTCAGCGTTTGAACAGCTTCCTGCCTCTCGCGTTGGCATCTAAAGTGAAGGAATCAGCCACCAGTAATATACAACTCTCTGATGAATAAACATTTATATGTTTCTATTTGAATAAAGACAACCTGCAATACATGGAAGGCCAAACTCATATTAGTGATATGAAGAATGAACTAATGGCCACATAAAAATCAGTCCCAACCAAGGTAGAAAACATAATGTTGTATCCTTTTTTCCCCCTAATTTCACAGAATTAATGGACTGTATGCTTCTCAGGAAGTATCCCACTCGAAAATTGATCGAATTATTTTAAAGAATTGAAATCTTCCTGCAAATGCTAAAAGACAGCAGAGTCCATATTCAATCCAAACCACCAAACATCAAATGCAGATAGTTCAAATTACATTAAACAAAAGCTATCTAATATATAAACATGTATCAGTAGCTAGATAATCTAGTTAATTGCCCCAGCCTGAGAGATGCATCAGAACTATCAGCGTCTTGAGGAGGATTGTCAGATGAACTGCAAATGACAATGGAGTCAGAAGACTGGCCTCGTTCACATGCAAGTCTCTGTAAGTGTGTGTTTGTGTTATGAGATTTTCAATTCTCAACATTTGAGAAGAAAGGCAATACTTTATAATAAGACAAGAATATAAATCTTTGATCACCTACTTCAATGTTTGATTTTCTTCCATGAGTTGGATTCCCTGTACATGAAAGCCAAACAATGTAGCAAAGGTGACTGAGAGCGTAGAACATCGTTAGTGTCATAAAATATGCAGCAAAATGTAGCTTGGACATTTTCTTGAAATCCATCATACTATTTTAAGCCTTTAATATAAGACCCAGTTGACTAATTTAGAGAAATTAACAAAGTTATTAAATTATTTAATTATAGTATATGTTATATGATCTCTCTAAAATACTTATCAGTATCATTAGATTATATAACAATTTATAAGTGAGGGAAATTAGTTGGGAGAAAAATGATAAATATAAATATTTTAAAATAATTTAGTAACTTTCTTAATCTCTTCAAATTAGTCAATTGAGTCTTATATTAAGAACCAAATGTAGTATCTATGATAGTGAAATCACATACACGAGTTTGTTAGAATGTGGATATGAATCTTCTCATGGGCTAGTTTCAAATTGAAGTGTCATGTGAAGAAAAGAACGAGCATCAAATCTCTTGGAATATATGTATTTAGAAAGGGATTCACATAGAACTGATCATTCAAGTGAAACCTCAAGTGACGCTTTGTATTATATTCTTTTTAAGATATGAAACTTCTCTCATTTCTCTATAAGTAAAACCGTTCAGTCAATTGAGAGAGTTAGTCCTCCTGGGCCATCTTCTTTTTATCCCTTTAACATACATTAACTGTCAAGTGTGAGCCCCTCACGTTTAGAAGATTCAGATCTTGTCTTGTGTCAAAAGATAGAGACTACTATATTTTTTTTTAAAAAAAAGAATGATCTTCACATCTCTTTATTATGTCGTCACACTTGTGGTTTTTCTTTATGGGGCTAATCACTAAATGGGAAAAAGTGACGAATGAATTGAACCTAATTGCCATTACAGGGATAGAATAAAGATGTAAAGTCGAGTAGTTTCTAATCGATCGCTCTTCAATCATTTTGTTTTCTCCAATTATACCTACTCTGAAAGACTCATTTTTATGTTTGGAACTACGTTTTAAGTGATTTTATGTATTGACTAAACTTTTGTGCGATTGACATAAAAGTTTTCCTGCTTCTAGACGTATAGATTATATGCAATGAGATTTCCACACACCAATATTAATTGCTTGTATACGAGGAATTAAGTGAACATGACCAATTGATGAAAAGGCCAAATCTACAGATGAATAATATCTTGCATATGCATAAATAGTAGATCCTAACATTCTAAGTTTGGTTTTGTATCTACCTTTCTCTTTAGTGCGTTGATGGGTTTCATGAATCTTTCATCCTGAAACAATAATCATAGTAAACATGTCAAACTCAAAATCTTGAATAGAGCTGGGAATCAGGGCCGGCCCTTCAAGGCTGGCGGGCTTAAAAGGGCCGGCCCTCCAGGGCTGAAATTTTAAAAATACCCTAATTTGCTAAGCCCGGCCCTTAAGCTACAGGGCTAGGGCCAGCCCGCGGGCTTTTGGCCCATTTAAGAAAAAATACTATTTTTTTTATTTATCATATTTTTTTATAAAAATATAAAAATAAACCAATGAAATTATTAATAAAAGACATAAATATGAATAAAATTAAGTCACAAATATAAAATATCATCATATATAAATATTCATCAACATCTAAGAACATCTAAAACATTCATTAACAAGATAACAACATCTAAAAGTTTTATCTATAATGCAATTGTGCAATAAATAAACACTATCATTAATCTTTTGAAACTTCATCATCACTATAATCAATTACTTTTCTTCATAAGTATGCTTTTCTTTCGTAACAAAAATATCAAGTTTTTCTTCTTTATAAAAATTTTATTTTTAAATTTTGCAATCTAACTATTATTTTACTTTAATGTGAGAAACATTGTTGTTGAAACTCATGAATTTCTAATTCAAATTATAGAATCACAAGTTATATAAGTATAAAAATATTCTATTATCAAATATATATATATAGTTTAAAAATATCAACACATATAATATAAATCAAATCATTATTAAAGTCCAAATTAACCCATTTTTTAAAAATTTAATTGGATAAATTATTGTCTAAAATGAAATTTAATTTTAAAATGATAATAATAACTAAATATTTGAAATATTATTAACAATGTAAAAAATTAATAACATTAATATTATATAAAAAAATTTAAAAAATAAAAAAATTATAAAAGGGCTTAAAAGGGCCGGCCCTTTTAAACCCTCGGCCCTCTAGGGCCAGCCCTTCAGGATTATTTCTCATTTTAAAGAAAAATATCAAGCCCGGCCCTCATAATTTCAGGGCCTAAATGGGCCGGTCCGACGGGTTCGGCCTGTTTTTCCGGCTCTAATCTTGAACGCAATAACTACACAAAATCACAACTCATATAGCTAATCGGACAAGGAAGAAAACAAGCCAATTTGTTGTCAGGATGAAAATTAACTAACAGTTTTAATCACTAACTAAATTAGATTTTTTCTATGCACGGTAAAGGCATATCACTTTTAAAATGTAAAAATAAAGAAGTTTGATAAGTACCAAAACAGTGTCTTATAGATGAAAATGCACACATCAGGTAGATTCCACACCAGCAATGTAGAAGGTTTAAAGAAATATACTGAATCTTGTCATAGAGCATTAAATGATAGTAAAGAAAAGAAAAGAAACAATAGATAAAGAAGTTGCTGGTCTCCGACAAATTTATAAGATAAAGAAGTCTGTACTTTTTGGGCTGTTTTCTTATTTTGGACTAAACCTCAGGGACCGTTTGATCCATGGAAAGCACGAAAATGGAATCAAATGTTAATAACCATAAATTCAGCAGGTATGATACTGGAAATGATGGAAGAATTTTATGTTTTATATTTGATTAAATAAAAATAAATTAAAATAGAATGAACCAAAATCCCCCCCATTGTGGTTTCTCGGGTGAAGGGTATTAAAAATAGTGTGATTCTAGCATTTGGGAATCAGGATTGGTCACATTTTTATGGAGAATCATCCTCCTAGCAGTGTGATAATTAGACTACCCATAGAATCAAGATTCATACAACAAAAACCAAACCAAACACATTAACAATGCAATTGAGATTATTAGGAATTGGGGTTCTGAGAATCCAATCAAAGAAGCCCTCACAGTTCAAAAAATTCTATGCAAAATACTAGAATAATACATTTTAATTTCTTTGCATGTAAAATACAAAATCTATAAAACAAGATCTTACTCTTTCTGTCCCAAAATGCAAGTCACTTTGAACTACTTTACACAAACCAGTAAAGTTGGTTAAAGTTAATTAGACATCTTGTACCTTTCAAAAATTACTTGAACATTCCAAAATAACCCTTATTAAACTGTATTCTCATATCAGTCATATCTCTCTTAGTATCTCTCATAAATAGGGGGAAAATTTGGAAGGAAAACATTTAATGCTTACTACATTCTATGAAATATGACTTACATTTTGAGTATCCCAAATCTTCCAAAACGTGATTTACATTATGAGATGGACAGTGGTAATATTTTGCATAGAACTTCACAAATTTTAGAAAGCCCAAAATTTAGAGGATCAAGGGTCAAGCATAAAAAGGACCAAATAAAAACCTTTGTTTTTGAAACGCGGGACAAGCCTCTTTGAAGTCTTTCCTCTGGTTTCTGCAATTCTTCAAGTGTGCATTCTTGAAGTTCTTCCCCATTCAATTGCCTTTAGAATTTAGTGCAAGTCATGTGTCTCATTAACATAATCTTCTCAACATTTATTCGTGGTAGGTATGAATTAAAGTTGCGTACCTCAATCCACGAGTCCTTTCTGCTACTACCTTGTGCAGCTTATTCTCATCACCTCCAAGCTTGTACATATTTCAACAAAAAAAAAGGATTAACCTTCCATGATTTTCCATTCCTTCATATGTTATCATAAATTGATTTCAATATTATGTCATCCCTCAAAGTAATTCTCCCAACTTTTCAGTTCTCCTGTGGAGTTAATTCAAGACCTAGGGTTTTCTGTAGGGCAATGCATCCTGATCACTTACTGTTAATGCATATTATGGAGTATGCATAAGATTGGCCCCTATTCAAAGGAATCTATGAAGTATGAACAAGGCAAAGAGTCAAACGGTACAGCTCAATTTCTTCAATGAGTTAAAATCTTCCCAAGAAGTGGATCCCTTTTCCCATCTGATTCATTTGGTAAGTACTTCCTTAGATATTCAATTGTCGAATTCCATAATGAATTAGACAAGAAACCCTTTGTGCGCCCACGTGTGTGTGAGTCACAATTTGATAGTAATTAACCAGAAAAGAAGTCAAGTATGTTAACCAAAAAAGAAAAGAAAAGGAATCAAGTTAATTAAAAGGAGCTATGTGCATTGACACAAAACTTGAGATAAGTCATGCTGTGTGATTGATATTAATATATTGATTACCTGCAGATCAGCAGATGATTGGCCTAGTCTTTGAACGGCAGAATGTTGATCGTACCTTTCAATTACCCGCTGCATACTGAAACAACAGAAATAGTAACTCTTTTGAGTGACTTTCTATTTCCCTTCAAGATCAATTAGTGGAAAAGATCTGATTAGATCAATCAAGCACAGTTTTATGTCAAGTATGGGGTAACGAAATTCTTTCAGAATCCCAATGGGAAAACTCAGAACCTTCAACTGTGGATATCAATCATGATTCGGTTACTTCAAGTCTATGAAGTTACTTTCTCATTGGTTGACCTTTTAAGTTATTAATTACCAACAGAAACAGAAGTACTGAAACATACACATATAATAATCTTTAAGGTTACAAATGCAACAAGAATTATATAGATTTCAACTAGTGTTTATCAACTGCCAAGCTGGCTAGCTAGTTTAATAGAGTACAGAGAATGAGATGATATGAGTTTAAATATAGATAGTTAATGATAATGAGCTGTGCACTTGTGCAATTTCATATTTCATTCTTGAATCGACCACTGTGATATCATGTAAATCTCTCTCTCACACACACCTATAGAAGTGGTGGCTATAGGGAACACATCATGTTGAGTAGACATATAATCTGATGAGCAATTTCTAGTGACTATCTTAATCCAAGATCTCAAATTATCAAAGAAATCATAAGAAATTTTGACAGATAATATCCCAAAACAAACAACGGGAGAAAAACAGCAGTTAACAAAAAAATATGTAGTAACGATTCCTCTTCTTCACAACCAAATAAGCAAAGATTCGAGACATTAAGATGGTGTAGTATTAGAAGAATATCATCAGAAGGCAAATTTTCCAATTTATTCATGAGAAATTATTACAAAATTATCATGGTAATTATTTTTATCTTTATCTCTCATGCAAATGCATTTTTTTTTTAAATGTATAAATACTAAAGAGAATGGTAGTTATTAGTCAAGGATCGCATAAAAAAATTAATACTTCCTCCAATTCTCAATACATACAAGAACTATTTCATTTAAGGCATCATTTCTGGACCATTTAAATATGAATTTGAATGGTTCAGATTTAATTTCTTCTTAATTTCTATTATTTGTTATTAGCCAACATCATCATTTTGCTTTCTATTTTAATTTCATTTTAGACTTAGAAGACTCTAATGATATTTCAGAATGTTTTAAGATTTGTTTTTAATAAAGTCCCATCCCTAATAGGACTTAAGTAAAGCAGATTTACCTACATACTGCAAATAGTAAAAAAACAAATTACCCAGATCCTATAAAATAAAAAGCATTTACTAAAATGTTACACTTAAAATCGTTCATGCAAAGAATGATTTTAAATTTGTGAAGAAGTTGTTCTTTGATTTTAACTTAAGATTAACTTTTTTTGTTAAGTTGAAAAGCTAAAATCGTTCACTTGGTGAGCAACTTTCCCATTCCTTCCTCTTTTTTTCCTGTCCTGTCTCTTACTTTTTATTTTTTTCCCCTTACTCTCTCCCATCCCACTCTCCCACATTTAGATAAAATGAATAAATGAGGTATGAAAATAACAAAATATGAAGATTCATAAGATAAAGGATGAAAAAATATAAAAATGTAAAAATCAGAAAAACAATATGGTATCTTCTAGGGGTAAAATGGTCCAGGTCTTTATTATATTATAGAGACTAATGTTTTAAATGGAAAAAAATTTGAGGGACCAAAACCAGTGTAATATTTTAGTAAATACTTTTCATTTTATAGGATTTAGGTATTTTCTTTTTTTATTGTTTGCAATATATAGGCAAATTTGTCCTTAAGTAAAATTTTCCCTAAATTCAACTCTCAACCGACACCTATATTGACTATTCAAAATTTCAAATGTTCAAATTTACAATGTAAATATTTTTGGTTTACATTAACCTTTCCAAGAAATAATTTTAATGATAATCTTCCATTCCTCCCTGAACACTTTATATGCGCGAATTACACTTGCATATATGTATATAAAATATTTTTAATAATTGAAAAAGTATATTTTAATAAAGAAAATACTTCTATAAGTAGTACAAGGTTATTATTTGAGGGAGCGGATGTGTATGTACTTAAACATTGACATTAGCGGGGTGGGTGGTTCATAGAGCCTGCAAGCTGCCTAAACATCACTAGTCTGCTCTTATAACCATGTCACAGACAGTTGACGGCTCCGTGGCCTTCTTGAATAGACCTTTCCTTCTCTTTGAGAAAGCCACCAGCCTCGCAGCTACGTTCTCGGTCTCTTTATTTCTATCTTCCTTCTCGTCATCTCAATCCTCCTTCTTATATAGGTGCCAAAAAAAAATAATTAGAGAAATCCACAGCCAAAAAGGCTTTCTACATTTTCTGCGTTGGGTTGAAATAGCACTGAGCCCTTTGCATTAAAGATTGGGAAGAATAAGCAGTGCACATGAAAGGAAACAGAAAATAAATATGAAAGATGGCGGGAGAAAAGATGGGGTTTGTGTTGAGAAGAAGAAGCAGGAATCTGAAAAAGTGATCACTGAAAGAAGAAAACAAGGGTTGAGGAAAGTTTTTGGAGAGAAGAAAAGCTAAACTTGGTGAGATTAAGGCAAAACCTTGAGTCTTCACCTTTCCCGATCTTAACCTTTTGTTCTTTTTCTTTAGTAAGCTAAATTATTTGCAGCTCTACGTCCACGTGGCCTTTTAAATAGCCCTCAAATCGAAGAAAAACCAACGACCACAAAAAAGAAAATAATTTATTTCAGAGGTGGTCTGGATTCTCACCCCAATATAAGGTGGTCCTTCTCGTATTACATACTCCATTTTACTTTTAATATTTATCAATTTTTTAAATCAATTTATTTAACTTATACATTAACATATAATTTAATATTATATATGAGTATTTTAAGAAAAATTAAATCATATTTGTTATAATTAATTAGGTGATAGATGTTAGTTGTCACCCCGCTATTATTGTCTTTTTAAGAGTAAAAGAGTAAACATGGACTTGCTAATGTCACTTTCAGCACCTGTATAGGATCCTCGTATTCTCGTATTGTGATATATTTATTTGAAACTTTTTCACAGGATAATATTTTGACCTTTTTCTCTTCTTTTCCGTTTAATTTTTTGTAACGTATGGCTTAATCTATAAGTCTTGTGTGATCTTCATTTGAACGTTCATAAGTCGAAATAACTGTGTCTGGTCCCCATGTCAGATCTTTTTAAGGTGAGAGAGAGAGAGAGAGAGTCCTTTCCTCATCACATTTATATTTATAGTTACTAGTTAAGAGTTAATGTCATGAATTTTCTTCCACAAAAAAAAGTCCCCTTAATCTAATTCATTAAAAATAGTTAGAAATATTTTCAAAAAAAAATCAGAAATAGTATTTATTAAATAAATTTTGATTTATTATTTTCTTTAGTTCAAAATATAAGAACCATTTTATAATATAATTTATACTATAAAATGATGCTTATATTTAGGATCAGAGGAGTACTAGTTACTTACCTTTTGGTAAATCTTATTTTGGTAGTACTCCTCCGATCCTTAATATAAGATCTATTTAATTAATTTGATTAGATTAAAGAAATTAGGTAACTTAGTTAATTATAAGGAACATGACATGTTTTTCTTAAAACATCATGATCATCTTCCTTAATATCCTCTTTCCCTCTTCTACTTGATTATGGTTGAGGGAAATTCACAAGGGTAATTTAGAAAAAATTTATAAATATGAGAAATAGGTCTTATATTTAGAATCAAAATTAACTCAACAATTAAGTTGTATATTAAGAACCAGAGGAGTATCATCTATTTGAGCGTACTGAAATAGCAAATAGAAGGGAAAGTTACATGCAAGTCCCATAGAAGACAATTAATTTTGAAAAAGTCCCTAAAAATCCCCAAATGCTTCCTAAGTCCCCGGGGACCTCAGAGCAAAAAATTTAAATTGTGGAATTACCTACTTGTCCTCACCGAATGACAACATGCACAGTTACAGTCACAACCTACACAACAGCTAATCACAACCTACATTTGAGCTATTCACAACATGCATAGAAACCAATCACAACCCACACTCAACCGAATGACAACATGCACAGCATACAGTCACAACCTACACAGCAACTAATCACAACCTTTTCCATCAGTAAGGGCAGATAAGTAATTTCACAATTTTAAGTTTTTGCTCTGAAATCCCTGGAGACTTAGGAAGCATTTGGGGATTTCGAGAGATTTTTTCAGAATTAATTGTCTTCTATGGGACCTGTGT